TTAACCACATGGCATTCCCAAACAAAAAAAACAAACTTAAATTGAAGCAGTGGTGCTGCCAAGTGAAAATTCAGTATCACTAAGGTCAAGGGTCTGCCCACTCTGACAGCTTTGGCATGGCATCCCATGGCGCAGTATCCAATGCCCTAGTATGTCCAACTGTCGGATTTTCTTTTGAAAATGCTGGAAGCTAAGGCTACTAAATCTAAGTTTTGGAAATTATCTTAGAAAATCAAACAAAAGACGAAGTGGACTTAAACTTAGTTGCAGGTGGTAGCCAGTTACTGTTTCCTTCAGTGCTAGCACTGACGACGACGGCGACCTTGACCCAAAATGATATCCAATGATGGGGGCGCACAATCCCAAAGCCATGTTTATAAATTATGGATGATTAATTAGTCGTTTCAGAAATTCGAAAATATATTTAAATTGGAACTGTGCATCCAATTTCCTGCATGCAGGTGGGCCCCATATATCATACGAAACAAGCCCAGGTTCAGCTAATTCTAGATAAATTATATGAGCTTATTATATTTATTATGTTTCATGAATCCTAGTCATACTAGAGGATATCAAATCCCCATAATAATAATAACATCACATATATTATTCTAGATATACTGTGTAAATACTCTATATAAAAATAAAGAAAATATATAATAACTATATATTATATGTATGTAATCCCCTTCCATAAACACCAGTAGCTGCAGCCTTTGAGGCCACGGCTGGAGAAGCTGCGGCAGCCCAGCAGCCGCGGCAGGGCAGCCACCCTCCCTCCCTCCACCCCAAATGGGGGATTTCCACGGGGATACTGGGAATATTATTGAAGGAATAATAGGAATAATATATGGTGAGTAATAGGGATATGGTGGAAATATCATGGGGACTATTCTAAGACATATATTATATGATGATGATATATTGATGGATATACAATCCGGTGTAATCAAATGTGGCACCACCAAAGAAAATGGGTAAAATACAATTTGACTATTTGACTATGTTAAGAGCTGGCAAGAAATGGCGACGTTTTTGCTGGGAAAAAATATTATTCATCATTGGATTCGATGTACCCAATTTCCGACAAATCAATATGCCATTTTTGGGTTCATCATTGTTTCTTCGACCCCATTCCTTGAAGATGCCGTATCACAATGTTTTTTGTTAACTGGTTAGTAAGCGAAACTTTCGATGAAATCTGCTAATCCGAAAATTTGCCCATCCTAAAGTCTGTCGATCCTGGGAAAAATCTTTGGGTCATTGGGGCCCTGGTCTCGAACCTCATTGGGAAATTCCAGGAGAGGGAGACGCTCATTCGGCACGGCCGGGTGGCTGCTTCTTCAGGACTGGGCAGCTGAGAGTTGGGAGTTGATGAGATGATGTTCTTCATTACCCGTTACCGGTAAGAATCAAGCAACTAAGCAACCGTCAAGCAAGAAAGTGTTCTCTAATTTTTGGTGCTGTTTCAGGCAACATTCACCGATGGTTGAGTCACGCATAAAATGACTAATCCATAGGGGTTATGCATGGTTCCCTTGGTAATCAAACATAGCAACATGGGGCCCCGAACTCTACATGGATTCGCCAGGAGTGATTGGAGGATCTTTAAGGATTTCCGAATCAAAGCATCTACCTGAGGTTTCCTAAAATGGGAGTTTCCAGGGAAACTCCGGAAAAAAACATGGATGAGAACTGGGGTTACAGTACCCCAACATTTCAGGAAACCACGGTCAATACTTTAGGACACCTTTTGCATCATGGGATGATTTTCTCCTGACCACTGGTATCCCCAAGCGAGGTGTAAACTATCATTTTCTCACAGAGGTTAGGTCTGGGGGAATTGCCCGATTTCTGGGCTAACCCCAACTACTATTGAATATTGAGAAACCAATTCTAATATGGTGAATAGTCCCCAGTCTGTTTTTGGCTAATCCCATTTCTGGTCATGCTTTTTGACTTAATTTCATTGATTCATGTTGCACATGTTCACCTGAAACAGTGTTTGTGTGATGATTCCCGCATATTCCCGCACTGTTTATTCATCAGACATGGATCAACACCTCTTCTGGGTGACCCCTGAAGTCCCCCGGGTTGTCAACCTTCATCCAGTCGCCAGGAGAGAAAGTGTTTGTCCGATTCACGTCGCTGCCATGAAGGGAGATTATGATGTCCTGGTGATGCTCTTGGAGGAAGGCGCAGATCCCGAGAAAGAAACTTCCAGGGGCCGCACTCCGATGGACTGTGCTCTCGCTGGAGATGTCTGCGGTTCAAACCAAAAGACGGTGAAGCTTCTACAGCGCGCGCTCAGAAAGTGACGGCGAACGAGGCTGACGGTGACCAGCTGATGGGATTTTGCGGCACCCAAAGGGTCAAGACTCTTTTTTTGAGCCCACTAGATCGAAAGCTAACAAATTGGGAAATTTCATCCGAAATTTCAACTTTCCATTGTGCCTCAAAGTGAAGACTTTGAGAACTTCCTTTTGACTTCATGACCGAACGATTTTTCCCCAAAGTGAAGACTTTGAGAACTTTTTGTCGTTCGGAACTCATGGCCTTTTGACAGCAGACACGAGTCTATCGTCTTTCCCACGGGGTGATCCTGCAACCTGCATCACCATACGTGCAATCCCTTTTCTGGGCACTAGGCCTTGAAATTCATTTGATAGTTGCGCAGACTTTCCCGGTTTGCTTGAAAACAACCTCTGCTGCCGCCCGCAGCCTCTGGATTTGGAGATAAGAGGGGGAACCTATCTCCAAAAAGGGATGACGATCGCAGTTGAGTCACACATGCCTCTACCTATAAATAAATAAATAAATAATAAATAAATAAATAAATAATAATATATATATATATACACACACACACGGAGAAACACACTATTCTAGTGCCTATACATATATATATACATATATATATATACATATATATATATATGTATATATATATATTTGTCTGTCACATATTGGGAGGTGTTTCTCAAGCCAGGCCGAAACGAGCCACACGCCCAGGTACGGGTGCCAGATGGGGGTTTCCAAGCCATGTATGTCGTCACCATGGGTTTCAACACAAAGTCATGGTCTAATGACTGGATGATTTGGGGCCACTTTAGGAAACATCTGGATTACGTCAGATTGTGAATAGAAATTACAACAAAAAACCCGCAGTAACTGTGATTTTTCTATGAAAATCCCAGCATATATCAACGACGCTAGTTATATAAATTATATAGGATATTCTCATGGATTGAGTATGGTTATCGGAGTGGATTATGGGGTGATGATATGGTGATTGCAGTAATCAGTGATTTCATGGACGAGAAATTCATGCTTGGCAAAATGGCTTATCATTCCAATGGCTGAGGTCTTCCATGCTTTTCGATGGCCATACATTTACGGTATACCGTATAGCCCTATGGATTATCCAGATGGCTTAGACCGAAGTGACTGATATGGTAAAACGGGATGAAGCACCCGCCATTGGGATGGTTTTGATGGTTTTTGGTTTTGGTTTTACCGCATTTTTTTTAAAATATCTATGCATGTTATTCTAGTTCTGGGTTCCAAGACCAGCTGGATTCTCTCGGCGTCACCTGACATCGCAATGTAAAGGAATCCCAATCCTTGAGAATCCAGAAGTTGAGAACAGATTTTCCCAATTTTTTAAATAATGACGGGAACTGGGATAGACTCCACTTAAAAAAGAGACTGCCCATTGCTGTTGGTTTTTGGGAACACTTACGCATTTCACCAACCATTTGTGATTCATTCTAATTGTTACTATCATTGTCAGTATTTTTTTTATGATTATGAATATTTGTTATGATTATGACATATTATTATGACTATTTATAGAAAATGTATCACGCTGTATATATCACCATACACCCCTGCATGTTGACAGCTGTGCTCTTGTCTTTTGTATAGCAGTTCAATCATGTACGTCATTGACATTTGGCAATCTTGTTACAGTTCCCTTAGAGGTTGTGGGGTTCACCTATTCAACAGGTTAATAGCCTCAGGCTCAGAGTCAAAGTCTTGCGTTCTTCGGTCACTCTGCACATTGCCATCCCTTTGCCTGGACTTGGCCACTGCTAGCGTTCGATTTGCTGCTAGCCTCTGTCCATTCCAGGCGTTTGGTGTAAGTGAAGCAAAGTCCGCAGTTGATCACGACTGCCAAGGAGTGTTTGCACTGACCAAAATTCATCCCTGTTTGGCCAGCTTCCATATCGTGTGAGCTTGGTTTCCTCGGTGCTAGAGTCGAGTCCCTAGCGTGGACCCACAAGTGACCCAGAGAGCGGAGCCACTCAAAGAGTCGTTGGCTTGTGCTTAGATTCGCGGCCCTGAAGCAAGCAAACTCGAATCGCACTTGTTCAGTGCTCCAAAGAGGGCTTTCTGAATTCTGCTACTATAGACTATAGACTATAGAGATAGCTTAGTTGGCATTCTGCCATTGATCCCCCCAAGTTTGCAGAGTGAAGACAAGCAGCGGACCCTGGACTCCATGATCCACTGGAGTCATGACATCCATTTTCTCAGATGAACCAACTTGGTGCCCTATTCAGGAGGAATGAGACGTAACAAAAAACTCGTTGATGGAGTGTCATTCCAAAGAAAAAACAGCTAGCTGCTAAGCTAACCCTTGGAATGTTTACAAGGCGACACGCAACATGTCCACCTTCATGCATGTGACGGTATCGCATTAAAGATGTGGAATAGACTGTTGTTCAGAGTTGATACTTGCTTGAGATCATACATGTTAAAGGTGTGTTCCTGAAATCGTCATCAAGTGCGGTGCAGCAGTTGGCCCGTTATCAAAGCTGACCATCGTGTCCACAGTGCCTGCCCCCAGGGTGTCCGGAGGCATGTGATTAAAACTGATTAAGCCCCGAGTTCAAAAAAAGTGAACCAGTGAACCCGAGTTCTTTGTGTTGTTTCAAATGATGAATAACATTTTGATGAAATCCCAGAAAGCCCCACTCAAACGGCCTTTAATTCCCATGGCTCAGATACCGAGTCACTGTCATCAGGCACATCCCTCCGCCCTTCAAGGTCTTCCAGGAGGACAGCGATGGCGGGCAGCTGAGCGCAGTCGTGGGTCAGATCTGTTGTTTCTTTGGCCATAAAACAAGAGATGCAACCCGAAAGCATGGTTTCGGAGTAGCCAACAATGGTTATCCTCTGGTAAACTAACAGTTTGCTATTGAAAATTGCCATTTATAGTGGATTTAGCCATAAAACATGGTGATTTTCCATGGTTATGTAAACGTTTACCGGAGGGTAGCAATTTCTATTGATGGTTCATAATGGCTAAGATTCTGTGGATTCTTATGGGATTAGTAATCGTGGGATTGGCCGCCAATCTACCGGTGAAGGAGTTCAAAACACCATCCACAGTATAACCAGCTGGGATTTAATCAATGGCCATGTCAGGCACCTAAATTGGAGGTACCCAAATTGGAGGTACCTAAATTGGAGGTACCTGCCATCTACAAGGCTTTTTGGGCGGTTTTTTCGGGGATATGCCCCAAACATATGGCCAAACACATGGAAGGAAGAGTGCCTCTTTTATGGGTCATAAAAACATTTATAGCTTTACGTAAGAAGAATGCGGGTTTCAACCATCAAGTTATGTGTCACTGTTTGCCCATGATCATAGGGATTGAAGTGACAGCCGAATGGTTGTTCAACCTGGGATGAAATTATAATGTCAACCCCGGATTTTGCTAAACCATGGTTTATTATATAATTAGGGGGTACCTTCCAAATAGTCACAATTAATGGTACATAAATGGGACCCTCCCAATTAAACACGTTGAGGTTTTGGCTTAGGTGCCCCTCGCTTCAGCACAGCCTAGCCATGGAAAACCCATGGATAACCCCCAGGACTTGATTGACATTGACAGATGTAGCGTTCAGCCAGCTGGGACACAATGAGAACGTATTCTTTCATAAGTATATTAAAGATATTTAAAGATTACATTCCTGCTTCTTGGCAGAACTTTGAGCCACTTGGTTTTGGTTGCTAAGACTGCTAAGATTGAGACTTTCTGTCTCGAGGTATTGCCACTGAAATTGAGAAATGGGTCTGAAGTACCCGGGTACCCCAAATTTAAGTGCATGATCAGATCAGGTTCAACCGGTTTCTCCATAAACAAAGGCTTACACAGCATTTTCACAGCATTTTCAGTCCAGGATTTCTATCCATTTGCTCAGGTGAAGAAGTGGAAGTGGAAGTAGAAGTCGAAGTCGAGGTGGACGAGGTGAACGGCGCAACGGTGCGGGCGCGGTTTTTTCAGACGCCAGGGCTACTATGAATAGAACCTTCCTATATCTACATATATCGACATATGTATGGCGTGTATATCTATGTGTATATATATATATACACACATATATTTGCACTTTGTGTGTATATATATATACACGACATGCATGTATGTATATAATGTGCAGATGTGTAAATATATATATATACTTAATTAGTTTATTTATTTATTCATATCTTTATTTATTTTCTTTCGAGATCTGCTAGGAGGCATTGGAGCCACTGGAGCCACCGGAGCCACCTCCGCCGCCGTGGAGGTGCTGCTAGTGACGGTGAGTGACGAAAAAAAGAACCCATTGGGTGGTTGATGATGGGTGAGTGTTAGTTGGCAATAGTGGTTTAATACTTGTTGAATAATGGTTTTATAATTGCTAATAATGATAATGATGAAAAGCGGTCAGTACTAAATGTTTAGTGATGATTGATAATGGCTGATAATGGTTTAATAGGGGTTTAATAGTGATTAAAGTATAGTGGTTCAATTAGTGTTAGTTAGTAACGGCTGATAATGATTAAACGTGGTTTGACAATGGTTAGTAATCGTTGATGATTGGTAAACCGTGTTGCTTTGCAATGTTGCTGAATGATGGCCAATCTGCAATGGTCAATAGTTTTTAATAATGGTTGATAGTGATAAAACCCAGTCGGTCGATGATGGCGAGATGATCATCGCGTAGCAAAGGCCTTGAGGCCCCGAGGTCCCAAGTGGAGAAACATTGGGCTGTTTGGGCATGGGGTACTATTGCTACCATGCGTTTGGATAAGACCCCAAATTGACAATTTGTTGATGGGATATGATGGGATATGAGTTGGCACATTTTGAGTATATTGTTTGAAAACAACATGTTTTTTTCATTTTTGAGAGTTTAAATTATTAAAGGTTTCGAAGTGTCCACCACTGAAGTGTTTGGATCATTCTTGTATACTTTGGCTATGATTTTTCCAGAAGTCGCGGGATGGTGCTCTACAGGATGACTACTTGGAATGGATTCCAACAATTCCCCCATGGTAAATCAAATTTTTCAAAGAAATCAAACCTGAAGGCAACGGATTGGTACGGACAGGATGATGATGATGATGATGATGATGAGGAGTAGGAGGATGAAGAAGAGGACGAGGACGCGGACGAGGACGAAGACGAAGATGAGGAGGATGACGATGATACTGATGATGATGGTCGGATGAATATCTTCGTCGTCCTCCTCGTCATTATAGCCGTGGTCGTCGTCATCATCGTCATCATCGTCATCATCGTGATCATCGCCATCATCGCCATCATCGTCATCATCGTCATCATCGTCATCATCGTCATCATTATTATCATCATCATTTTAGTAGTCTCAGCAACAGTATCACTTTCATTGCCAGTTTCATCTTCATCATCATCATCATCATCATCTTCTTTTTCTTCAGAATAAAACGACCCCGATGTCAACCATAAAGACCACAGCTTCGCCTTCACGTTCAAAGCTGATGCGTTCGGCCCAGTGCAAGGCAGAAGGACACGCGGCAAGCGCGGCCGACCGCGAAGACTGCGAGCGCAGCCACAGGCGCCACAGGCGCTACAGGCGTGCTGGGATGGTTGGATCGTATGGGAAGATGCTGGGATAACCTGTTTCTGTGGCTAACGGGGAAGATTTTTTCAAGAAAAGGCTAGTTGGGGTTCCGAAAAATTGGAGACAGCGCCACCAAAGACATTGTACACATTGTCGATGCGGCTGGAGAATCAAAGCATGAAATCTTTGGTTTAACTTGATGTGAACCCTTGAACAATATGGATTGTCTTAAAACGGGCTACCCCCAAATCTGCTGGTTCATCATCCCTATTGAAATTCACATGGCCATCCCATTTTTGGGTACACCTCCACATTTTTGAAGGTCCAATTTTTCATTCTTCCCATTTTTCGGTGGATCAACCTTTACCCCTTGAGCAACTGAGGCCAACGACCTACCACAAATCGTTCTTTGGCCAAACGTAGTGCGGTCGAGTTGGCTCAACGTGAGGCCTGCAAGGCGTGGGATTGTTTCTGAGATGTGACTCTTCCGGTGTTTCTGTTCGCCATGGAGGTTTAGTTCGCTGGGAAAATCATGGAACTCAATGGGGAATTTTCCAGCAAAGCATGGAACTCTTCTAGCAAACCACTTTTGATTACCTAATCGGGTAATCGGGTAATCTAACTGAGGATATCAATCAGTAGGAACAAGTTGGTGATACCAACGTGTTCTGCACCATTTACTACCTGAGATGCACCCACGTGGGCGGTGGGCGGAATGGAATGGACGGGGTGGGATTTAAATTAGGGCAGTTCCAATATGAAAATGGGGGTATATTAAGCCCGATTGCTCCAATGGAGATGATAAATCCAGTTAATTTCAAATGGTTTGCCAAAGATTTCATGTAGTTGTTTTATTTTTTGTCAGTTCCAAATGAGGTTATACCAGTAGTACCGCACAAGGCGGTGGCGGAAGTTTCAAAAATAGGAAACCTATAGGAGAGGTTGGCTGTTGTGAGTCACGAATGGCAGAGCGAAGCCACTGATGGACCGACAGGTGGTTGAGGTCTCTTCTCTTTCTCTCTCTTTCTTTCTCTTTCTCTGACTATCTACCTACCTACCTACCTACCTAATTACCTACCTATCTATGTATTTATCTATCTATCTATCTGTCTATCTATCTATCTATCTATCTGTCTATCTATCTATCTATCTAATCTAATCTTACCTTATCTGATCTTACCTTACTATCTATCTATCTATCTATCTTTCTTTCTTTCTTTCTTTCTTTTTTTCTTTCTTTCTTTCTTTCTTTCTATCTTTGTATCTATCCATCTTTCTTTCTATCTTTCTTTCTATCTAATCTATCTAATCTATCTAATCTATCTAATCTATCTAATCTATCTAATCTATCTAATATATCTAATCTATCTAATCTATCTAATCTATCTAATCGATCTAATCGATCTAATCGATCTAATCGATCTAATCGATCTAATCGATCTAATCGATCTAATCGATCTAATCGATCTAATCTATCTATCTATCCAATCTATCTATCTATCTAATCTATCTATCTATCTATCTATCTATCCTAATCTAATCTAATCTAATCTATATCTAAATCTAATCTAATCTCATCTAATGTAATCTAATCTAATGTAATCTAATCTAATCTAATCTAATCTATCTATCTCTCTCTCTCATCTAATTACCTATCTATCTGTCAATCGATCTACCTAGCTGCCTCTATCCATCTATCTATCCATCTATCTATCCATCTATCTATCCATCTATCTATCCATCCATCCGTCTATTTATTTATCTTCGTACCCATCTACCTATGTACCTATCCACCCATCTACTTATCCATCCATCCGCTTATCCATCCATCGATCCATCCATCCATCCATCCATCCATCTATCTGACCATCTTACCTATCTATTTGTCCCAAAGCTTTTGACCCCGGCAGATCGCAACGTGACCAGCGTGGAGGATTACCATCAGAAAAGACAAGTACGAAAGCTTGCAAGACCGGAGTCGTCATCGAAGCAAGGGGCCAGGAAAATGGACACACCGCTGTTTGTTTCGTGCCGTCAGAAAAGACTGACACACACAAGACAAGACCAAACGACATCGGTACGGCAACGGTGTTAGAAAAAACACACACGGAAGGCTCAGCTGCTGGAAAATGAACTGGTCAGAAAAGACACGGTCGGCTGCTGTCACCTGGTCTGGATGATCAAACCCGCGTGCCACGTCGCCACGGAGATCTTGGATGGATAGATAGATAGATAGACAGATAGATAGATAGATCGATAGATCGATAGATCGATAGATCGATAGATCGATAGATAGGTAGATAGGTAGATAGGTAGGTAGATAGATAGATAGATAGATAGATAGAAAAAAGATAGATAGATAGATCGATAGATAGATCGATAGATAGATAGATAGCTAGCTAGCTAGATGGATAGATAGATAGATAGATAGATAGATAGGTACATAGATAGATAGATAGATAGATAGATAGATAGATGGATGATAGATAGACAGATAGGATAGGATAGGATAGGGTAGGGTAGGGTAGGGTGGGGTAGGATAGGATAGGATAGGATAGATAGATAGATAGATAGACAGATGGATAGATAGATAGGTAGGTAGGTAGATTGATAGATAGATAGGTAGGTAGATAGATAGATAGAAAGATTAGATAGATAAGACAGATGAGAAAGATAAGATAGGTTTAAACACATAGAGAGACAGATTAGATAGATTAGATAGATTAGACAGATTAGATAGATTAGACAGATTAGATAGATTAGACAGATCAGACATATTAGACAGATCAGACATATTAGACAGATTAGATAGATTAGATGGATTAGATCGATTAGATAGGTTAGATTCAGATAGATAGATTCAGATAGATAGATTCAGATAGATAGATTCAGATAGATAGATTCAGATAGATAGATAGATAGATAGAAAGATAGAGAAATAGATAGATAGATAGATAGATAGATAGATTCAGATAGATAGATAGATAGATAGATAGATAGATTCAGATAGATAGATTCAGATAGATAGATTCAGATAGATAGATTCAGATAGATAGATTCAGATAGATAGATTCAGATAGATAGATTCAGATAGATAGATTCAGATAGATAGATTCAGATAGATAGATTCAGATAGATAGATTCAGATAGATAGATAGATAGATAGACAGATTCAGATAGATAGATTCAGATAGATAGATTCAGATAGATAGATTCAGATAGATAGATTCAGATAGATAGATTCAGATAGATAGATTCAGATAGATAGATTCAGATAGATAGATTCAGATAGATAGATAGATAGATTCAGATAGATAGATTCAGATAGATTCAGATAGATTCAGATAGATTCAGATAGATTCAGATAGATTCAGATAGATTCAGATAGATTCAGATAGATTCAGATAGATAGATAGATAGGTAGATAGGTAGGTAGGTAGATAGATAGATTGATAAGTAGGTAGGTAGATAGGTAGATAGATAAATAGATACAGCAAACTATATAAGAGTTGCCATGTGCGGATGAGGTTGTGTTGGTGATGTTTGCTGGTGATGGCAATGGATGGATGAATGGGAGCTTCATAATGTGGACACACAAGCAAGGACATGACCTACATACATTCATGACAGAATTCATATACGTTGACATAAGTGTATTCTATACATATATTTAGATATATGTAGATAATATCATGATTGCTTTACCGTGCATGTTTACGTACAGCAGCTGTTTAATGCAAAGATAACACAATATGTGTTGTGGATGCAGAACAGTTTCTGGAGTTTCGTCCGGCGCGCTCTCTTGCGTTCACCTTCATGCTGTTCATATCGTGAAATGTCGAGGCTGCTGTTAGTGTGTCCCCTGTCGGACATGCCAACTGTTGCGCCAGGTAGTGACACAGGAAGAGTCCGTGACTGCCAAGGAAAAGACAAAAGGTGGCAGCCCAGCGGCACCGAAGTTGGATGTCAAAGAATTTGGAGAATTTGCATACTTTTTGGTAATCAAAAATGGGTAGCTGAAACATCTTGATTTACAATCATTTATAGATGAATTTTCCTTAATGCCCATTTAGCGCAGGATTTCCCAGCTAGCCATGGTTGATAATTACCGGAGGGTATCTGGCTAGTGGTTTCAAGTACTTCGAAAACTTTCCATGCCATACGTGCGAAAATAATTCCCAATTGACTAGTACTTTAGAGAACGGCTGACACAACCTGGTAACGATGAAATTATGAGAATCAAACATGAAACGCAATGTTGTTTTTCACTAGTCTGCACTTATTTGTTTTTGTTTTCAAACCACGAACCCCTCCAAATCGAAGTGCTTGTGAATGAAACATGAGCAGATTCGGCTGGCAAACTTTCGATCATGCCAACTTGGATCAAAAAAACATATTATGATTTTGTAGTACCCCAACTGGACCGGTTTTTCGGAATCAAACAGCCCCAACAAAACTGGGTGGGGTTTCCGTGGTGGTGACTTCCGCTGCCGAGGCAAGGGCAAAAGTAATGTCCAAAGTGCCAGAGGAGGTGTCTTAATGGGTGCACGGGCCAAAGGGGCCAAATGCAAGGGCAAAACAAGGGCCGCCCAAGGCGGCAAAGAACGTGGTGGCACTGGCCTTGCCGAAGTGCTGAGTGGCAAAGCTGGAAATGGCGAGGTGTGGCTGGGAAGGGAACTGATCAATGATGATTTTGTGAAACAGCTTGGGGATCATCCTCGAGGATCGCCACTTGGTGTAGACCACTTGTATCACTTGTTACATTCACACCTTCTGTTGATGAATTTCCCATTTGACCTTTTACATTCTGTGGGTAAATTTTTAACAACCTAACGTCGCGACCTCACTCGAATGATGGGTAGTGAGGGACATTATCGCACAATAGCTTTAATTCAGGTAAATGAATTATTATTATGAATGATGAATTATTTTGAATTATTATACTTCACCCAGATCCATTTGAAATTGGGGCCCGGCGAATGTGTGGAAGCCACCGGGCCTGGCCACACAAGGCAAACATTCCCGCGAAGGAAGAGCCGAAAAAGCCACAGGAGCGACGGGCATGAAAGCGCTCTCGAGATGCAGCCCTGAGAATCTGCATCTGAGTGGGTGTGCATCATTTTGTAACCCAGTCACGCATAGAATATATGGATTTATTATATATGGATTATCGAAGGAAGTTTAGAAGTCAAACTTCCGACAATATGGGCAGATGGAAAAGCAGAGGTGGGAAGAGTCAGAGAAGAGAAGAGAAGAAGAAAGAAGATCAGAGAAGAGAAAGAGTCAGAGGAAAGAAGATGCAGGTGCGCGAAAAGGTAGAAAAGTCGCGATTCAC